TTTGGCTTCATCACAATTTACAAATTGATCCATTCTCATTTATTAAAGGCTTGTTCGGTGTCAAAGGTGAATCACCTATGACACTGCAAAGTCAATTTCGAAATCAATTTTTCGGTCTAAATGAAGTACCATTCCTGAAGATATTCCTAATTTAGTTGCTAATGGAGGCAACAATCCAATTGATTCGGATGACGTTAATGTTCCCAATGTGGAATGGGAGGAAGATGAACCTCAATTAGACATTCCCGATATAAGAGGGAAGCGAAAGGAAAAAAAAAGCAAAATATTAGAATCACTTTAAATTGATTTCAACGGGTTGTGTGGTTGATGGAGTAGCATAGTATTAAGTAGTATGTAAATACTATCCAACTATCAACATGACAGAAAGACATTGGTAACACCAACCTCAATCGTCACTATAAAGCATGTGCGGCCAAACACGAACTTTTTGAAGCCAGTCAAACATAACTACAATTTAATAGTCTAGACACCAGTTATACGTCTTCGCCCCTCACCACGTGGATGTATTCGGGGGAGAATGCTCAAATCGGAATGGTGAAACTTATTGTCGATGCTGAGTTACCTCTAGTAATAGCGGACAACCAACATTTCATCTCATACGTAAAAAAATATCTTCAATCGACGTACATTGAGGGTAAGTCAAAATACTCTTCGTTCAAATACAATAGAATATTTTTTTCAAAGAAAACAACAAATGATTATAAATTTGCAAAAATATGAGGATGTTATATCTTTAATTTAGGATATATAGAAGGGGGTTAATAAAAGAGTTTATATAGATATAACTGCACACTACATAGATCCACTTTGATTTATACATAAAAAAATTATTATTTTTAAAATTATTGAATTCCCTCATAATGCTAACAATATATATAATGCAATTATGGGTATTACTAGAGAATATCATTGCAAGAGTTAATTTCATTCTTTTACATTTGACAACACTAATGTTAATGAAGTGGTTATCGATAAATTATGTAGGATATTGCAGCCCGATTTTGGTGGTTATTTGTTTCATATTTGTTGTGTGTACCGTGTTTTAAATTTAATTGTGTAATGTAGTTTAAAATATATTAAAGATAAAATGCAAAGAATTAGGTATGCACTAATATATATCATGATCTCCCCTGATAGAAAACAAACATTTGAGAAATTTTGTCCGGAATTTGGGGTGACGAATACGAAAATATTTATTAGTGACGTAAGGTATAGATGAAACTCCACTTACTTATTATTAAAGTCATATGAAGGTTTTAAACATTTAATAACTGAGTTTTATAAAAATGGGCATATTAGAAACGATGATGACACTATTTTGAATGAATCCAATTGGCTTTAAACTTTAAAACTAAAAAAAAAATTGACAAGTTTTTATGACTCTACAAATATTTTATCTAGAGTTTACTATCCTACTAATTTTATGGTGCTTGAATGTCTTTATATAATTGCAAGGACAATTCATAAATACAAAAATGATATCGATTTTAATACAATTATATATTCTATAGAATTAAAATTTAAAAAATATTGCGAAGACTTGCTTATGTTATTTTCTTTGGCATGCATTATGGACTCCGACATAATTTATCAAGAACTAAATATGTAATTGATTAGATTTCAAAAGTTTTAACTTTTAATACACCTATCACGTATATAAATTTAGAACAAATGTTATGTGAAATGTATGAATGATGTACAGAACAAATGGGTACAAATATTAGTCGAGTACCCTCTATACCCACTCCTTCCACTCATATTGAAGAATATGACCCTGAAGTATTAATTTAATTCGAAGGTATTAATACGTATTGGTATGACGCAAATGCAATAAGTTTTTCTAGTAATAGTTTGTTTTCTACATGCAATCAAATAGCGGATGGAAGTTCAAATGAGTTGTCTGCAAAATTAATTGATTACTTTAATCATAATATGTCTACCACCAAAATAATTAAAAAAAATACAAAGGAAGTTATTGAATTCTACTGAAGGAACGAATGATGATGGCC